GTAAGTGTAAATTTATTGCCAGCTGGCTGGTTTGTTTTCACCACTGGACGACTTTTGATGCCAACACATACGATGCTAGGTGCAATAAGACTTTTAAGCCAGGTACCACTGGGGTTAAGGGTGTAGAAAACCATACGCAGTGTGAGAAACATAAAACTGGGTCCACAGCTTTTGCTGTGCTTGATTCTAATGCAGCAAATTCTCCCAACCATCCCTTATGTTATTTGCTTTTTTTTTAATCTAAATCTCATTCAAGGTGGCATTAAAAAAAGGTCTTAAAAAGTCTTATTAGACTTGACTAAACCTGCAGATACTCTATGCAGGTTTTTTCTTACCCGTCTTTTTTTACAAAGTGTTATCAGCAGGGACACCAATAACCGTGACACCTAAACAGTTTTTTACTCTCAAAGTGGAATTAAGTAAAGTTTTATGAGCTTCTGCTCCAGAAAACTTTTTTTTTTTTTTCATGCGGTTGGCACAAGAAAGGGGACAAATACTGTGCCAAGTCGCCGTGGACAGCTTGCACTCTTGCAGACCAAACTTCCAGATACCTTCTTGTTGGGTGTTGGCAGAGTTTTTGTGTGTTTGGAGCAGGCTGTCATGGTGAAAGGGCATATAAAGTTCCTCCGCTCTGTTGGGTGGTTTTTGCCCCTCCCGTGTTCAGGAGCAGAGAATTCATTCACCCTGAAAGCTGTCGGGGGAGTTGCACCCACAATCTGGAGTTGAGTTGAATTCGGCCTTACACAAGTCACAAAATTAAGTCTCCTGCTCTGTTTTTTTGCACTTTGCAGCGTGTTGCACGCATATATAAGTGGATTTTTATGTTATCTGTATTGCTCATGTGCTGCAAAGCTGGCTACAGCTCTCTGTTCGCTTGGATGAAAATGCGGCAGAAAACAATTTCTGTTCAGAATGTCTCGTTTAGCGTCGTGTTTACTCGGCTCAATAAATCGAGATCTTAGCATCAACCCTGATGTTTACATTAGTCTGTGATCTTACAGCCTCACGTAGCACTGGATGACTCGGGTTTTCACTACACACATATGTTAAAAACTGAAAATTCTTAGTATCTGTTTCTTGTTTCTTTTGTTACAGCTGTAGACAATGTAATGCACATCAGTTTCTTTTAAGACTGATGCATTATGTTCGTCTTAAAATGTTTCAACTAATGATGGGACTCAGTTAATTGCAAGGTCTGTAATTGATTAATCATATTTTAATTGAAGACTGTATATTGACAAAATAAGCAAAAATGTCAATTCAAAAAACCTTTTTGCTGCCAAATTATTGAATAAATACACATATGCGGAAGTTGCTTGCTGCTTGTGTGTCAGATTTACGGCCGTACCAGAAACGCAACACAAAGGTTCGAAATCTGTGTTTTTGAATTTTAAAAAAATAAAAATGTGATTAATTGAGTTAGACATCAAAATTAACGGATTAAAGTCCCAGCCTTAGTTTCAATTGTTGGTTCTTTAGACTAACTATAAACCGGTGCTGATGAAATGCATCAAACTTCGTCTTTCAAAGAACTTTCTAACGTTTTCTCAGGCTGTAGCCAAAGTTGAGTGTCTTTTATTACCATTTTGAGTGAAATACCAACACAAAGATGTCCGTAGCTGTAAAGTAGACAGAAAAGAGCACAGACCACAGGTTCAAGAGATTATCTTGCGAATGGTTAACCACAAAAGAATGGCAATGAGTCTAGATATGCAGAACTGCTGGAGTCAGGCCACAAAACACTTGCAGCTGTAATTGTAGTGAGAGCCAAAAGCATTGAGGCAGGGGAGTAGAATCTAAACATAAACTACAGATTAAATGCGTAAAACAAAAAGCATAATTTATTTTTGCACAACTTTTTTTGATGGTCTGTTACATAAACTCGCTTGATATAAAACATGTCGATTTTTGTAGTTGCAACAAGAGAAAATCTGAAATGTTCAGAGCATATAAATTTGGAGTGCGCCGATAAATCAGCCAGCTAATCGATTGGCCCAGATTTTCTTAATTTTGGGTGATCGTCAGTGGCACATAGTTGCATGATAAATCGAACTTGCGATCCACCTCTGTAAAGTCTGAAAGTCAACCGCTGTCGACTTGTGCTCTGACATGAGAGCGAGCTGACTGATGGACCTGACATCAGGTCCGGTTTGCACATGCAGGGTTAGCAATAGTCAACCAACTGTTGACAAATTAGCAACTTTTCAAATCCCCCCAAAAAATCGGCATTGACTAAAATTGGAATTGGCAGGTCAGCCAGAAAACTTCAATTGTTTCACCCTTAATATAAATACTTTTTTATCTTCTTAATACTTTTATTTATCCATATGTGTTTATAGTCACACTCTTATTTTTTTTCCTCCTGTGTCCTCCTGTAGACTAGCAAAGACATTTTGTGTCTTTGTGCAATAACAATAAAATGACTATTTTTTCATTCCAGAGTAAGTAAAATCAGCTGAACTATTTAGATGATTTCTACACCTTAAGAAAAGCTTTTTTGTTTTTTTTCAAATATTGAAACTTTTGTTGACGTTCTCCGGTGTCCCCCCCCTCCCCCCCAGGTCTCCCTGATCCGTTTGCCAAGGTTGTCGTGGACGGTTCAGGCCAGTGCCACTCCACAGACACTGTGAGGAATACGCTTGACCCCAAGTGGAACCAACACTACGATCTGTGAGTCCCAGTGGATTTATTTTTCTTTTTTTTTATTTATGACACTTCTGACATCTGTTTTCAGAGATAAAATCCCCTCTGACTTCCCCTTTTCTATCGGTTCATGCCTCACACTTTGCACGTCTGTCTTTATTTAACCTTAATGTGTCTGGGGCTAAGACGCTAACGGGACCTAATTGACAACAGACGAACGGAGTTCTGACATCTGGCTCCTAAGGTGTGTGCGGATCCTTTTTACGATGACATCACGACTGAGTCCAAAACTGTCCCCCGGAGCAGCACTTAACGAAGCGGAGACGGGCGGGATGCCTACAAACACCGCTTTCCTCCATTGACTGAAACACGTGCATGTCTTGTTGTACGGCGCTCCGCATTTTCTCCCCTCCCAAAAAGACGGTCTGCCCCGTCAGATAAAAAAAAAAGAAAGAAAAGAAAAAAAGCAACCTGGAAAAAAAATAAAATGAAAAAAAAAAGCGTGTGAGAGTGAAAGTTTCCAGCATTCGCCCCGATTTATCCAAACCGTCAATCGTGGCCAACAACGGGAGGCAGCACGTGTCTCAGTTTGTTTGGTTGCCGTGGCTACGAGACTCTCTCTCTTTTTCGCTCCCTCTTCTCTCTCTTGCTCTCGCTTTTTTTGCGAAGCTGTTAAAAGAGCAGCTCGTGTCGCGTCCGACAGGGGGAGGGAGGGGGAATGTCACGTGTGTGCCGTGGGACGTTCAGACTGGAGCGGAGGGATCGGCTCGCCGCGTTTTAACTCGTCCCACGGGTCTGACGATGCAGCCGGCTGGAGTTCACGTGAAGCCGTGATGCGTCTCCCATCAGTGTTTCACCGGCTGCTGGTGTTCACTCCTGCGGCTGGCTGAGGGATTCCCAGGTGCTGTCACATTTTTTTCTTTTTTCCTTTTTTAAGCCCCACAAATATTACATTTTATTTCCGGAAAATGTTAAACTTGTTGAGACATTTTTTTTCTTTTTCTTTTCTTTTTTTATTTTTGGATAGTACCATCTAAATTCTAAAGTAATGGCTTACGTCCTTTTATTATTGTTTTTTTTTGCGAAAAGTGATTTTGAAAAAGGGGGGAGACCACCACCCTTTTCTTTCCAAGAGATGTTTCAGGCAAATAAATTAATTTTGGCAAAGAATTAAAAAAATAAAATAAAATTAGGAAGGTGTATTAGGAATAAAATATTTTATTTTATTCTTCCCCTGTGTGTGTGTTATGCAAGGGTCCAGAGATTCTGAGTGTGTTTTTGTGTTTCCAGGCCTGTGGTGAGCCGCAGCCAGCAAACTGGCCCGTGAACTCTGACCCTTCAGCTATGTTGCAGGATGTGGCCGGCGTGCCAAAGATAGTAGACACAGTCTGGCTTCTTTTCTCTCACACTCAATCTTCCTGCACTGGATTTGTGTAAAAACGGATTTGTACAAAAAAAAAAAAAAAACAAAAAAAAAAACAAAAAAACTCAGGACGTTAAATAAGTTCAAACAAAATAGAAACCGTTTGTCAGTCGGTGACGGTTGCCCCCTCCAGATAATTTCTTCGCAGGCTGGCGTTCATTAGCTTAAAGTGTTTCAGCCACGCTCCTGGGAGTGTCCACTTTATCACATTAGGTTAATAAAGAGTCCTCCAGAGACTGTGTTAACAAACACTTAAGTGCCCGATGTAATGGAAAATTATGCACGCCCACTCATCCAGCCCGCTTCCTGTGACCATCTGAGCCGCTTGCTGAAGAGCTAAACTGCGAGCTGTTAATTCGCAGTGATATTTTTAAGCCAAATCAATACGTCTTGTCAACTAAAGCATTTATTTCTTCGTTTAATTAGTTTAATTTACATACTCCATTTGTTGTGCAAACCATAAAAATGATGTGAGAGCACAATTCAGCAATCTAAATGTGGAATTGTTTGCGTTGTTGTGCTGAAGCGAAACTAAATCCATTTTTAGTGCCTTGCAGAAGCTTCCATGTCCTTCTGATGTTTTACCACATTACAACTACAAGCTGGTTTTATGTGATGGAGCAACACAGTTATCAATGCTGCTTCATGGTGGCCAGCATCTTTAGAAGTAAAACTTTGAAAGCTGTGTTGTGAACTTGTGTTCAGCCCCTTTTACTCTGATGCCACTAAATAAAACAGTGGAACCAGCTATGCAGTCTGAAAAAGCTAAAAATAAAAATAACATGTTTGGATTTTTCTTATTTTCTCCTCCAGTGTTGAAAAAATGTTGTCTTTCTTATTTTCTTTTTTTCTTTCTTTTTGTCTTTCTGCTTCTCTCTTTCTGCCTGTTTTTCTTTCTTACCGTTTCTTTCTGCTTCTTTCTTCCTTTCTGACTTTGACTTTATTTCTGTTTCTTTCTTTTTTCTTTTATATTTCTGCCCGTCCTTCTTTCTTTCTGTTTTTCTTGCAGAAACTTTCTTTCTGTCTTTTTTCGATGAGTTCAGTCGACTGACATCCATGTTTCTGCAAAACTACAGAGACATGGCTGTCCACCTAAACCAACAGGCTAGAGAAAGAGGGCAGGAATAAGAGATCTCTGGAGGAGCTGCAGAGATCCAGAGCCAACATTAGGGAATCTGTTATGCAGGAACGCTATTGGAGCTTTGCTCTACAAATCTAGTCTTTTATAAAAAAGTGCCAAGGAGAAAACTGCTGTTGAAGCAAAAACTTTCAGTCTTATTAGCTGTTTTCCACAAGCCATGTAAGGGATACGGGGGGAAAGTGTTAAATAATGCTCCATGTTATTGTTTATAGCAGCATACTAACACTGTGAATCCACTCTTATCTTTTTGTTGAAATCTCTTAAAGGGGCAGTATCATGTAAAAATAAACTTTTTTTATGTTGTAATGTTATTCCCTCATCAAAAACAGACCTGGAGTGTTGCTTTCATTTTTCCAAGCATGTTTGAGAAATCATTCAATCTCCATGGCAACCATTCAGCTGTGGGAAACACCTGGGTGGACTTAGGGCCGCCTTCAAATCGCAGTTCCTCCTCGGAAAATCGTCCGTTTCCAAACTTCTGATTTTCAGCCATATAGAGCCCCAATCAGCTCCTTCAGACTAGCCAGCAGCAATTAGCAAACACCTGGTGGAGCTGCACATCAGCTGAGCTCATTATAGGAGCTACGTCTCGTTGAAACACTGGTGAAAACTGTTAAAGGAGCCATGTTGTTATGACTTCCTGACAACAGAGTTTCAGAAAGAACAGGAGCTTCTTAAAGAAACAGAAGCCCAATTTCAAGGTGTTGAATCAGGAATTAAAATTTCTTTTAAATCATATTTCATATACAGAACATCTTACAACAACTGCAGGAAATGTGGTTACTTGATTATGCTACAAAATGACACTTTGTTGCTGGAAAGCACAGAATACTGCCCCTTTAAAGTCTTGATAAATACAGTTGGGGGCTGAGAAGGGGTGTGAAAACTTCTGCAATGTACTGTACTGTTTATTTTTTCCAGCCTGTTTTCATGCTGCAGCCCTACAGAGAGACTGTCATAATTAACCATACAGTAGAGAATTATGGATCTAAAAGTGCCACTCCGAGAGAAATGTCAAGTTGTGGTGCCAACTTCTGAATACTAATTGCATAGGATTTATACTCCTTGCGTTTTTAAATCATATTCATAGCCTGATTTTCCTTTTACTGTGACCAGAAAAAACAACAACTTTTAATGTAATGGAAACGGTGCATCTAGTTCTAAAAATCTGCTGCCTGTTTTATGGTCAAGCTCACTTTTATCATCGGGACTCTGCTTGGTTTTATTGTCTACGACTGCGTTAAAATTCTTCGCCAGTCTAATGAGTTTTACAACACGAAGGGTGATCCAAACGACTGCTTTTTTTTTTTTTTTTTTCTCTCACTTACATCCACGTCCCTCCCATCGTGTCTGACACGACGGAGCGGCTCTCTTCCCATCGCACCCCAGACAGGCATTTGGCACGCGCTCAAAACGTCCAGACGTCTTACTCACAGCCCCATTGTTTCGGATCCCTCTTGGTGAAAAGCGGCGGCGTAATTACACGGGGGACGCGGCTCTGAAATCGCTCAGACGATTCGCTCTAAGCCGAGGGAGGGAGCCCACCCGAGCAGATGTGCCACGACAAGTTCAGATGGTGACTTCTTTTTTTTTTTTTTTTTTTTTTTTTTTTTTTTTTTTTCTCCTCGCAGCCCGGCCTCACACACTCACACACACACACGTTGGAGAACCTCATTAGAGCTCGTTAGAGCTAAAGTCCAGCAGCAGACAGACATAAACAATAAATAAACCCACTTTTTTTTTTTTTTTTGCGCTAAATGTGTCTTTCATTTCCAATATGTATCTTGGCTGCTGTGACTTGTTTGAGCTGCTGGCTGGAGTTTATTTATTTTTACTGACCCCAGAAGGCAGGTCGGTTGATTCGTTGTTGTGTCTGCCAACAGCAGTAGCCCGGGTAAGATGGCTGCCATGTTGGACTGTTTGTTTTTTCTTTGGTGTTACGTCAATTAGTTGCGGTGTTACAATAATTTTAGCTTTTATTGCTCCATTTGATTAATTGAAGTCATTTTTGTTTGCAATTTGAAATTTATTCTTCCGGAATTCCTCGAAAAAGTATTCATTCCCCTTTGGACGTGAAGGGATTTAAAAAGTGACAAGAAAATTATTGCTTTGTTTTTTTGTTTGTTTTCATTCTTAGCCAGCAAAAATCTGAAAAGTGTGGTGTGCATTTGAAATTACTGCTTTAGTTGCATCTCTACCTTCTTTCCACATTTAGGGACTGAATTCTTCCCTGTAAAAAAAAGGTTAGACTCAAAGGGATTGGATGGAGAGAATTGGTGAATATTTTTAAATCTGGACATTGATTCAAAGTTGCATTTATTTCTTTACTTTGACTTTGACTGGAACCTTTTATCTAAAGCTTTCATTGAAGTTGATTCTGATTTATTGGGTAGTCTACATTAACTCCTTGAAGAACATTTCATTTCCCCTGGGGTTTGATAAAGGATTTTTGGATTTGAATTCATTTGAATTTTATAAATTCCAATTAATAATGTTAAAACAAACAAACAAAACTGACAGTATTGTCAGAAATAATGATGAATTACTTTGGACTCCATTAATTTGGCAAATGTTTGAATTTTGACTTTGGGGTTCCTGGGTAAAGGCAGCGTGAGTACGCCACTCTTTTCGTTTATTCACTACTTTGCGTTGGTCCATCACATAAAATCCACATAATGTATAAATTTGTGGTTGTGACTTAATTAAATAGACTCTAAAGCTAATTACCATATTTTTCCCGTGGCAACCATTCATTGTGCAAAACGTCTGGGTGAACCTAGCTCCGCCTTTGATAACGAAGCTCCTCCTCAGCGATGCCGTTTCAAAGCTCCCGCTTCCCATGACACTCCCACTCAGCTCCTTCAGACTAGCCAGCAGCAATTAGCAAACACCTTGTAGTGTCCACACCACCAAGGTGGTAGGCTATGGTTAATGTTGGACCCTTAACCTTCGAAGCAACGTTGGTAAAAACATTGTTGAATTGTTAAGAGAGGAGCACTGCCGTGACGACTTCCTGAAGGCGGAGTTTCAGAAAGAACAGGAGCTTCTTAAAGAGACAGAGACCCAATTTCAATGCTTTAAATTACAAAGTCAAAATTCTTTGAAGACTTATTTGATACTTACAGAATTTTATAGGAACTGAAGGTAACATAGTTACTTAATTGTGCTGTACAAATGATACGATGTGGCTGGAAAACACATTACTGCCCCTTTAACAATTTCTAAATGAATACAACTTATACTCCAGTGCTTTTATATGTTTTTTTGTCTTCATGCCACATTTTTTCACTAATGCGACTGACGAGTCGAGAAAATACGGTAATGTCTTTCTCGAAGGGGAAATGACTTCTTTTGCCTCATCATGAGCTTGAACCTTTAGTTGGCCTAAAACCTTCCTGAATAAGCCTTTGGTTTACCATTCGCCTCAGAGTGCTGGTGCTGCAAGGCGGGCTCACAGATCAGTCACTGGTTCTTCTGTTAGCGTGTCCTTGATGAGGTACAGCTGGTGTGTCACCGAACAGCATTACGCTGCTGCTGCTGCTCTTTATCTCCCTTCCTACAGTCCCGTCCCGCTCTTCCTGCTGGGAACGTTATAAAAGACTCAAAGGGTTCACACTTTGCCTGTCATGCTCCGTCACACGCCAAGATGCTCAGGGCCAGATTTACACATTCGCTGGAAAATCCCCCTGAGCCGCTACACCTTCCTCTTCCGTCTCCGCGTCCCGAGTGTCGTCCTTGATGCAGAGCTTTGTTTGTGGCCCCTATTGTTGGGAGTCGGTCTGGTCGGAGGGGGCCCAGGGCATCCTCAGTGAACTTCATGATAGCTCTCGTGAACGCATTGTTGTCTGCCTTCATCCTAACGTTGTTTATGATTTGTAAGCAAACATCCGTTCTGCTCCCGTTTCACCTCAGGTACATCGGAAAATCGGACTCGATCACCATCAGCGTGTGGAATCACAAGAAGATTCATAAGAAGCAAGGGGCCGGGTTCCTGGGCTGTGTCCGCCTTCTGTCTAATGCCATCAACCGCCTTAAAGACACGGGCTGTAAGTATCAGTGACGCTTCAAAGTAGCAATTTGCCTCAAGACAACAGCAGTTTGGCCTTTTTCATTGCTTTTCAAAGTAGGTCTCTTTGGTTTCAAGTAGAACAATTAGCTTTATATGTTTAACATGTTTCCTGTGTTATATAAATATGGTGCAAAAATACCAAATAAATGATGCTAACTTTTAGAATTTGTAACAAAATCTAACACGATGCAGCTGAAAGATGATCATTACCTTCTCAGTGGTGGCACTGCTAGCTAAAAAGTTATTTTCGCTAACCCAAAAGCACTAAATACCAACGTTAGCTCTGCTAAGATTCATAGATGACCTGATCTCAATATGTTGAGGCACCAGTTACCATTATGAAAGCTTACTAAACAGGCATGAGCTGCTGTGAAATGAAACATGACATGCCACGCCCTTTCTTCACTCCAACATGGTCGTGGTTTTCTCCATGGCCATTTTGGCCAAACGCTTTAATTTAAGTTTCATCAGACCATAACGGGTATCCCAGGAACGCAGGTCTTTCTCTGTGTGCAAACTGTAGTCTGGGTTTTTGTTTCAATGGCTTCTTCCTGAACATTACAGTGGCTATAATGGTTATTGCGTACATATAAATATTTGAACAAGTAATATATATTGGCTGATTTCTCTTTTTTATTATTATTTTTATTTTATGCACACAGTTCAGTCAAATCAGAAGCTTACAAAGCCTTCCCATGTTGTAGAAAATCATTGTAATCTACACTTTTTACTCTTAGCAGTGAAAATGTCTCATAACATTTCTCAGATTATTCAGGTATTTGGCAAATATAGATGCTTATTATACATTAAATGTGGAGTAGCTCCATTTGTTTCACTTTTTGCCCTTAAACTGTTTCTTCAGTACTCTCTGCCATAGCAAACCTTTTCTATGTTCAAACACAATCGTGTTTTAAAAAACGGTTTAAACTTTTTATGCAGTTTCCTGCAAAGTCAGTGACATTGTGTCTTGATAGACGGCGTTTGTCAAAACCATGTTTACGCATCTGTTTTAATTTGGAGTCACTTCCTTTTCTGTCTCTAAGTTGACGTAAACAGCCAATCACACACATCACACTACAGCTGGGTGCTTATGGTAAATGGACTGAACTTATATAGCGCTTTTCTAATCATTTTGACCACAAACGAACAGGAGGAAGTTGAAATCAAACTTTCGATCCCAAGACAAGTACTTTACCCACAGAGCCACAGTCGACCCCCGCATCATATCGTTTATCGTGATGGATTTGTTGTAATAATTTTATCGCAATAAATTTCAATTAATAACTGTCGTTATTGTCATGATTGCTAGTTTTACTGTTTACTTCACTGCTTGTTCAATGAAAACGTCAATAAATTTGCAAATCCCTTCGCAGTTTAGCGATGCCAATCACACTTCTTTACGTGACTGGTGTCCCAAAGAAGCGAGATGCAAATGGGAATGATTTTCAAAAGCAGCTTTTGTGCTTTTGGGGCGATAATTGCTGTGACGCAAAGAGATAAATAGTTCTTATCGTCACTTTTATCGCTACTGCGATAATACGGCTAAATGTTGCCCACCCATAACCGAAACATCAATACAACGTCGAGGAGAAGTTGCAGATAGCGTCCCAATCTACTTAGTGCGTCTGTCAGCGGCCAAACTGGACTGTGAAAAGTCCTGTTTGGCCAGAACAGGAAGAGCCGCTCAGCATCGACCTGCAATTACAAAAAAAAAAAAAAAAAAAAGCCTCATGTCAGAAGCTAGCCGGGTGAACGAGACTGAGGCTTCTGCAAAACGTCTTCCTCTAAAGGCCAGGGCCGGACAGATTTAGCTGACAACACGGCAGCAGTCTGGAGGTTGTGTTTTGAGCTGGTA